GTTAGTGTAGAATAGGCATGTTAGCATAGAGCAGGCCTGTCAGTGTAGAATAAGCATGTTAGCATAGAGCAGTCCTGTTAGTGTAGAATAGACATGTTAGCATAAAGCAGATATGTTAGTGTAGAATAGGCATGTTAGCATAGAGCAGGCCTGTTAGTGTAGAATAGGCATGTTAGCATAGAGCAGGCCTGTCAGTGTAGAATAAGCATGTTAGCATAGAACAGATAAGTTAGTGTGGAATAGGCATGTTAGCACAGATCAGGCCTGTTAGTGTAGAATGGACATGTTAGCATAGAGCAGGTATGTTAGTGTGGAATAGGCATGTTGGTATGGAGCAGGCCTGTTAGTGTGGAATAGGCATGTTGGTATGGAGCAGGTCTGTTAGTGTAGAATAGGCATGTTAGCATAGAGCAGGCCTGTTAGTGTAGAATAGACATGTTAGCATAGAGCAGGCCTGTTAGTGTAGAATAGGCATGTTAGCATAGAGCAGGTCTGTTAGTGTGGAATAGGCATGTTGGTATGGAGCAGGCCTGTTAGTGTGGAATAGGCATGTTGGTATGGAGCAGGTCTGTTAGTGTAGAATAGGCATGTTAGCATAGAGCAGGCCTATTAACCTGGAATAGGCATGTTAGCATAGAGTAGGCCTATTAACCTGGAATAGGCATGCTATCAGAGTTGCCAAACTACCCCAACTCTCTTGATATAGCTAATTTTAAGTTTATAAGGGAATGATATAGATTTGCCGTAAGATTTCTTGCGTGAGTGTGAGAGTCAGAAAGCATGAGTGTCACGCCAGATGTGTGAGAGTTGGCAACCCTGTGTCATCATGGAGCAGGCCTGTTAGTGTGGAAGAGGCATATTAGGGCAGAGCAGGTTAGCTTGTCCAATTCTTTCATACATAAAGGAGTGTTAGTGTTAAAATAGGCTTTGACTATATCAAGGGCTTTGACTTGGGTATAATTTTCAGCATGACCTTTGACCTCAACTTAGACTAGTCAGTTCGGTTGAAGCTGCTTTGTTTTCCGCAGAACAGCCCTGCTTGCTTGGTCATGTTGAGTGTCCTGAACGGTGTCACTGGTTCAGTGTTTCACAACATGACCACCAAATAGCTGAATATGTTACGAAACTGCTCCTTGGGGCTTTTCGTCATACGCGGATGATGCGCAGAAAGCGATGCTAAGAGCTGCATCTGGAGAGACGCAAAAGTTCACCAGGCGAGATGGGAGATGGTCTGTGAGAGTATTAAGGCTCAACTCCCCGGCATCTGCACAATCAACAAGCATAAAGGGGCGTTTCCATCCAAACGGCTGCCTTCTCTGATGGAATTAGATGTATTTACACTGTATCCCCTGTGATTCAGAGCCCCGCGTTTGGCTGCTGAAGCAGAACAGAGCGAACACAGCAGCGTATGAAGGAAACCTGGAGTCTCTCTCGCGCGCTTCCAGCATCGCGCTGCACAGCCTTTGTTCCCTGGTGCTATAAAGGCTGCTGAATGTGTCTTTGAAATGCAGCATGTTTAACCTTGGGAATAGCAATGAGAAAATGTGGAAATACATTTAGATACGCAAACACACTCGCATGCGGTGACTCTGTATGCCTGAGGGCACCTTGACACCATAGTAAATTAATGCCTAACCCCAAAAAAACCAGAAAAGACGTAGAAGCTGATCAGCTGGATGAGACTGAGCCCCCCCCACCCCCGGTTGGGCACAAACAGTTACTACACTAGGGAGGGGTGTGGGGCTTGTGACCTTTTGAATGGGGCCCCGGAAACAACAAAAGGCCCCGGTGAGGAACATAGTCACACACTAAAGTAGCCCAGATTTCACCATGATCTTGCTTCAAGCCCGATAAACATGATGGACACAGATGGAGCTGAGAAACAGTGTCCCACAGTGCTTCTGTGGTTACTGATCTGAGTGTCTGTCACACGAGTTTCGGCCGTGGGCAGGACAGGTGAGGGACTCTGCAGTGGTAGTGGTACACGCCATCATTACCCACGATGCCTTACTTTGGGGTCACAGGGTGGATGAATTCCTGCGCTTTGCCAGTGATTATGTCATCCTGTGGGTGACTCACAGCTCAGATGCACCATACTGAAGGTACACATCAGAGAACAAATGCAGGTGAGAGAAATGACACTGGTTATGGTGTACTGCACTGGGCAGCCTTCTGCTGTACAATTCTTGTCTAATTTGCCAGTCAGTCTTGACTGGGTACACAAATGTGTTCTGGACTGTGTGCTTTTGTTTTTTTTTCTTACTGCATCGATGTACCTACAAGACAGTACGCCCACGCATCATTTACTGTGACTGTATCAGGGTCGGGGGTGCAGTAGGCTGTGAGTCACCACCTGCCTGATTATATACCCCTGACTAGACCGACTTCAGATGAACCACAGGTAGAATGCTGAGACCATCGACGACCCCTCGTCGAATCCTTTCAACAACGCTGGTGGCAGGCAGGCTGGAGAGCACTCTCGCGCTGAAGATCATGCTGGTTCAGTGCTGTTCTCACTGCAAGTGGACCAGCCGCTCACCGAGTGCAGTGGAACCCGTGGGAGATGCGCGCGGCGAGGTTTTCTGGCTGGGAGAGGAAAGCTGGAGGATATGAAGGAAAATGTGAAGCAGATTCACACAGAAATTCATAGACATTTACAAGGTCCCTAAATTGACTCCAATGACATAGACACCCAAGTTTCACTCAGTCTCAATAGGTCATTGGTTTTAATCCCCCACTAGCCTCACATTGACATAATTAGCAATACATTGCATGGATTAAAGCCTGAATACCATTGTGTTTATGTAGCACTGGGCTAATATCCAGACGTCAGAAGGGAAATTTTAATGGCTTTTTTTAATCTGAAGGTACTGTTAAAGGGGAACGACTGGGTGCAGTTTGTTCTTAATCGTCCTTAACATTTGTACATTTACAAAAGTTGATAGCTGGTACACTTGCTGAGGTATAATAGCTAACAGATGAAGAAATGCAGCCATCTAGTGGTACTTTCTGGAATTGTAGCCAAGGATAGTTTAGGCTTGATGTGCTTCAAAAGAAAAATTGTGATTAAACAAATGAATGTAGTGGTCAGAGCTGTGACTGACTGAGTATGTATCTTATCAGGGCTCTTTGGGTGGCTATTTGTGTAGTAACATCTCACGGTGCAGCCTTTGGACTTGCCTCGATATCGCGTTCTTCGTTGAACTTTCTGCTTGACTGTATCAGCTGAGAGCCTAGTGGGACTTTACCCTGCAATCTTTTAGTCAAATCTTAAGTTTTAAAGCTTTTCAGGGTAGAACTTACTGCTTAATACATGGTGAATTCAACGTTTTAAATATCTAGAATCAATTCTAGCTTACAATACAATTCGAGGTCTTCGTTTTATTAAAGATCCTGTTTTCTCGATTTATTTTGGACTACAGTATAGCATTAGATATTATTCAGCAAAAGCACCCTCTGCTGGTGCAATGGGGGAATGTCCATAAATTGGTATTAACATATCCTGTAGTTTCACAAACACATAAGGTGTGAGGTCTCATGTTTTACTCTCGGGTGTTTTGTCTGTGCTGCTATCTCAAGGCCGTGCACTTAAACGAAACAAATAAGTTTACCTCAGTGTCAGAAATGACTTACTGCGAAGTTTTATCTGAATACACATAAAATGTCACCCTCTTTAGCTTCCCTGCATTCATTTCTGGGCTATAAATGAATATGCCGGTGGGTGTCTGCCGCGACCCCCAGTTTTGTGACACTGCTGTCAGTTGCACCCGAAATGGCTGAGAACGTGTCATCTAGATGCGAAACCTCCTGGCATTATTTGTATAAGTATCGGACCAGTGGAGCTAAGCTTCAATATTATTGTATCGAAAAATCAAAAGCAAGCGAAGTTATGCGTTTTGTAAGGTTATTTTGTAGTAACAATAACAGTAAAAGCAAATGATATGAGCATTGGATATGAGCATTTTTTGATAGCTGACAGTTTTCCGTCGCCCAACTCGCTGCAATTTCACTGCAATTAGGTTGACATGTATGAGATTAGTTGGCGGAAAGTTAAAATATATTTGCGTGTTTTGGCGTACGCAATCCGACGTCGTTTCGTTTACAGACAAATACGCGTCCACGCACCTGCCAAAAAACGCTTTTAACTTTACTTGGATTTGTTTGACTTCTTGGTTCTTTTCCTCCTTTGTTAATTTTATTTCTTTCTATTATTTTATGCATTAATCATGTAGGCTACTTGATGATTAAACATGTAGCAGTTCTTACACGCAAATCTTGACTGAACTTACATTGAACTTATTTCATTAAGATGTTGAATCACCGCTGGGAGCCACACGGCGGCGCTAAACCGCACCTAGATTCTTAACTAGAATACCTGGGGTGTGGGTGGGGAGCACTGATCAGCTAACTGAAGACGCCGGGGGTCCGCCAGGTTTTGCAGGGGGTCTTGACCTCCCAGAGCCAGCATACTTCGCCATGAACGCGCATGACGTCAGCTCACCGGTGTGGGAGGCGGTATCTTCCTCGTGACCGCGGGTGCGCTCATTCAGCTTGAGTGCGGCGCGCTTAGCGGAGGCATAGAGGGAAGCTGGACATAGAAACTTGGGGGTTTAACGGAGATTTTACCGATAAACACAGAAGCGGCGGCGGATACTTATCGACTGAGCACGGCCACCTCCTGAAAGGTACTTTCCGCGCTGACTTTGTTATCTTCGCAAGTTTGGTGCTGCCGTATGCGGCATGTTTTCGCAGTAAAATGGGCAAACCTTAACGCATCTTGATCTGAAAATCCGAGTCAAGCTTGCGGCTTTGCGGCTGTAATGTCCACTTTGCGGGAAACCTGAACCCCGATGAAGGTCCGCCAGTAAGTGTGCAATCAAAAACTTTTTTTTTTTTTTGCAAATACGCAACCGCCCGCAAACTTTGAGCAACTCTGATAAATGATTAACATTTTAAGCTTTTAAATATGGATTACCCCGTTGCATGGATTAAGCGCATCTGCCGGATCGTACTGTTCGCACATTGAACTCTAAACCTGCAAGACTTGATATGGAAGAAGGAAACGAGGTGGATCTTTCCAATAACAACATCACTCCGCAATGGATGAGGCGGTGCCCCAGCGACAGGGGTGAACCCAGGTCTCGCAGCTATAAGACTGACGGAGTGGATGACAGGAGGACCATTGCCTGCTCCCAGTCTACGGAAAATATTTTGTGCTCGACTGAGACACTGGTCCTGAAGCACACTTTGAAGAAACCTACTTACTACAAGCCCAGGATGGTGAAAGTAATTAGCATTGGGGAAAATGATGAAAACAGTGATCAGCCCCCTCTACCCAAGACCAAGTTGGAAAATGAAGCAGCCATTGTGGACAACCAGGCATTCCACACGGTGAGCAGGACCCAGGCAAACAGAAACTGCCCACGTTGGCCAGGCAGCTCCCATCCCAATGACCAGCGCAGTGACGCCCGGGACTGCATTTCCACCCCTGCGGCTTTGACCTCCAAGAATGACCAGATTGTTTTTGGGTCAAGCCTGGACTCACCGGACCACATCTGGCAGAAACAGCGGTCACCCTCTGCCATTAGAAACTGCAGCCATTCGCCCCCCTCGGACTGCGGGGCCCCCACGGCATCCGGATCGACGTCTGACCCCCCCACCCCTAGCACGTCCTGCCCCTCGCCCATGTCCTGCAGCACCTCGGACCCGCCCACGCCGCAGAGTCCTTCCCCGGAGGAGAGAGGCGTGCTTCTCCGCCAGGCCTCTGAAAACAGGGCCCCCTCCAACGTCGTACTGAGCACCAACAGTCCGGCGGCGCTGAAACTCGGCACCCAGCAGCTCATCCCCAAGGCGCTGGCTTCCTGCATGCGGTCCGGCAAAGCTGCCCCGGGTAACCATGGCAACCAGGGCCTGCTGGAAGCGCCCAGGAGGGCCCCACGGGTACGGAGCATGGTGGAGGCGGGGGCCTTTTTCTCCACCAGCGGGGACGGCACGGATGAAACCCGCGACGGCGCTGACTGCAGTCCCGGCTCACTGAAGCGGGCGACGCGATCCACGTCCTACCGGCGCGCCGTGGTCAGCGGGATCGACCTGGATGTCACCGACATCCTGTGCCAGCCTCAGCTGATCCTGCCAGATGACAAGGAGCGGTCCCCTAGTCCAGCCAAGAACAAGGTGGGTGACATGCAGGGGACCTTCTGTAATACTTCGATGACGGACACTTCCCGCCGGTGTCTCGTCCGGCGTCCGGTCAATGCCCAGAGACAGTGACGCTGCCCGATAGGGTCCACTGGGCTGCCCGCTTCTGGGTTGCTTAGAAACCTTGTGCGTCAGAGTCACTGACATTTCTGCTTCCGGGAACGCTTGACCAGTAAAGCTGCTTGTCTAAAAACACTGCCCCCTGTTTGAAAAATGAATTGCCCTCCCCGTGTCTCCCCAGACCCTGGAGAGGAAGAAAGGTTTGCCCACCCAGAAGACCTTCGACAGTGAGGGTGAGCAGACCTTTGATATTTGCCTGCATCATGTTCACTGAGTTCAATCTGGAATTTGGCACGAGCTGTGGGAGGCTGCTTCTGACCGGGGGGGGGGGTCACCTTTATCTACTCCTGGGTGTCTGCTTATTGCGTGTGATTTACCAGGGGTTTTGTGCTGGAATGGGGCTTTTCCAGCTCTCCTCTGTCACACACTGTCCATTCTATGCACGTTCACTTTCACTTCGGCTGACTTCACCTTTGCACCCTCTTAGAAAAATTCAGGAATAACTCTGCTTAGAAATGTACAGCGATGTGAAATTTCACGAAATACTTCACTGAATTATTCACACTGGTGTGACCTTTGTGCGTGTCAGGGGATGAGGTTATGTACCAGAACTACCAGGAGAAGGCGCTGCATAACGACTCGGATGAGGAAGCGGAGCCCAGGATGCCCGAATCTGACCCTGGCATTGTGGTTCAGTACCGATCCATACAGACGTGCTGGAGCAGGCTGAGCGTGGTGAGGGGGTGGGCTGGGGTCCACACAGACACACAGACACACACACACAGACACACACACACACACACACAGACACACACACACAGACACACACACACAGACACACACA